CCCGCCGCAGCGCGGCGGGAGTTTGCGTCTGCCGGAGTCGGGTCCCTGCGCTGGGGGGCGCGGGCTCGCGCGCCGGCCCCTGGGGACGCGAGCCGAGTGGGCGGGGGATGCTGTGTCCAGCCAAAGGCAAGGCTGGGGGCGCCCGGAGCCGAGCGGGTTGCCAGCCAGAGTCGCCGCCCCTACGGGTCACGCGTAGACCTGGGAACGCGCGTCTGCGTGGACACGACGTCCGGTCCCGAGCGGGCGGAGAAGGGGCGCAAGGGGTCCTCCGGGCGGGACCTGAGCGGTGGAACCCTGAGGCCGAGGCCGAGAGAGACAGCCGGACGGAGACAAGACAGGGACACAGCAGGCCAAGAAAGAGGCCGAACACAGGCAGAGACGCAGCGGGGACAGGGACACGGACGCCCAAGCGGCAGAGACAGGGCAGGCGGAGGTGACAGGCGGGACAGACGGCGACCAGAGGCTGCAGTCCTCGCTGGGGGAGGAGACACAGCGCCCTCTGCGGGTCCTGGCAGGGGGCGGGGGAGCCAGTGCCGCCGAGCCCCCGGGGGTCCACAGGCGTCCGTGGTGGCCACGGTGCCTCGTGGGGAGTTAGAGCACTCTCTGGAGATCAGAGTCCGTGATGAAGCGATCGCAGCCCCTGGGGTGTTTTCAGACCTTAGATGGGTCCTGGCATCACAAGGGGTTCATATCTGTTGGGAGAGGGTCACAGTGCCTTTTAGGAAGGTGAGAATGCTCTCTGAGGGATCACGACATCACAGGTGGGGGAGGCACAGCGGCCCTTAGGGTGTTCGCAGAGCCCGGAAGTGTTGTTCGGCCCCACAGGGGGCTCCCAGCCTTGTGGGACTATCACAGTGTCCCTTGGAGGGGTAAGAGAATGCGAAGGTGGGTTGACAGCTGCCCAAGGGAGCCTGGACGCAGCTCAGCGGCTATCACATCCCTCTGTGTTGGGGTGGGGTGTCGCTGTGTCCGTCACACCCCTCCCAGGCATGGGCGGGTGGCATCGAGGGAGTCGCTGGGCAGGGTCGGGGGAGGGCCCAGATGGCGACGCGCGCGACGCCAGCAAAGACTCCTCTGCAGGCGGATGCACTGGATGAACGTGCGCCTCAATGTGGAAGCAGCGCCCCGCCCGCGCTTAGGGCTCAGGCCGTTCCGCAG